TAGGAGGATGAGAAGAAAGGTATGGCACATATTTTACTAAGAAACGGCAGTAAACTTATTATAAAAGAAGAACTTGGAGTTATTATGTACATGACATCATTTAAAGGTAGATAAGGTAAACCCTATACATCTCTACTTCCAGCATTAGAGAAGAATGCTGCTAAAACATGTACAATAAACATGCCTGAAAAGTTCAGCTAATGCTGGGTGGTTTAGAATGTTTCACTTCCTAACTCCATAGTTAATTTACTTTAAAGAAAGAGAAGTATTTGGTAACAAAAAAAATAAAATAAAATTTAAAAAGAAGGTTGAGCAGAATTCACTAGAAGCCAGCTATATTTATCCTGTCTCTTAAATCAAGAAGTACCCAAATACTTTAATATGACAGAATTTTATCAAAAAATAGATACCGGAACACAATTTTAAAAAAAAACTTTTTGTTTTTGAAAACTAGCATGAAGTTCAGCTCTTAAAGCAAGGTGAAATGCAGACTCTGCCTGATTACTGATTAGCACAGAAATAACCGTGCTTGTTTGCCTGCACTAAGGGTAGAAGCAACAGAGAGATAAAACCATGAGTGGCATGGAAAGGGTGAATCCAGATTAGCAGCCTGCTGGTCAGTCTTACATTTGTATCTGAAATTCAGCCAGCAGGAGAAAGGTTTTAAAACAACACACATCCACCAAAAAAAAAAAAAAAAAAAAAAAAAAAAAAAAAAAAAAGAATAAATACCATGTGGTTAAGCTGTGAAACTCCTGACAAATCTTTATTTATGAATCAATACAGGGTATTGGATAGTAAAATTTTACCATAGTACAAAAGAACACAGAGAAATTTATGGAGCACTTAAAATCACATTTGGCTCAGGAATGTTGTAAAGTGCAAATGGTTGGAGAAAGTACCAATATTAAGTATCATATATCCTTGTCCTGTTCTTACAACTTCCCTTAGGTACCTATTTCAGCCAGAGAGAGGACTCTCATCTAATTTTTACAACACTTTGGTGTTATCAAAGTCTGGTCAAATATTTTTATCTGGCTAATTTTCTCTCAGTTATTCACAAATTAATAGTGGAATGAAGCGACCCAAAATTTTTCTAGGGTAAGGATGTACTAGATATTTTCAAAAATCGGATCACACCTCTGAGGAAAAGGCTTCGCTCTTATTTGATGCTACTGCATACCTAAAAGAAAAGTTCTATAATAGGATGACTATAAGTTTGTTTGATTTGAAAAAAAAAAAGTAAACTTCAAGCTAATGTTTATTTAGGCTAAGTATTTTAAAACATATCCATTTAGAATTAATTTTCATGTGACAATCCACTGTGACGTTGGAAAGAACATTCACCCAGTAGTAGTGGCCAAAGCACTAAGCCGCGCTGGTAGCTAGACGTACTGCACTCAGGTTTAGTAGTGAAGCAGTTTCTCTGTTTCACTCATATGGGTAGTTCATTCAAGTCAATCTGGGAGTTGGATTATCCTTTTTTCTAATTGCTTTCTACTCTACAGTAAGTGTTGTAAGAAGGAAAAAAAAATAGTTTCAAGCCAGCTGCAAATCTCAGACATGCATACTAGACATTTATGCTTGAGAAATGTATTAAAATAACTACACTCTGAGTAAAACTTTCCTCAACAGTTACAAAAATGTTAAGTAGCATCCTAATTTCCATCCCAGTGCAGGTTAACACATCCAAGATCATCCAGTAGGTCAGAAATTTATCATTTGTTGTTCTCTAACAGAGAAATCGTGTACAAACTACCAGTCTGAAAAAAACATACATTAAACACCACTGATAGAGACAATGGTATTTTCACTAGTCTGGAGAATAGGTGAGACTGTTTCTGGGTAAAAGGAATAACTTTTCATCAGACTAACTAGTATAGTTTGAAACAACAGAGAGCATTTCAAGAACAGAGCCTTTCTTTAGACCTGAAATAGAAACAGCAGCTTTCCAAACCAACCATAATACCTAGCACGTGGAAAGTACTGAAGCCTGCAGTACCAGGGTATCTTTTTCTGTAAAACCGGTGGCTTCCTCATCCCCCAAGAACATCTGCTTACCTGAAGAAGAGTCCTGAGCACACAGTAATTCACCCAATCTTTTCAAATAAATGAATTTCTCCTAGAAAAGATGCAACATCTACCTACTAGGTTTGCTCTGAACAGATCTCTCATTTCTGTCAGCAAACGCAAACCAAAATTTAATCCTCCTGCTTCAGAAGAGCCTTTTGTGAAAGGACTCGTGTCAAAAGACAGATCTTCAGCAATCCACCATAATCCTTGCAAGAATCTGCTGTAAGCAAGCTTAATGGAAACTCTGCTTGGACTTCTGTTTGTGGTGCAGGGCACCATGCTACTTGTGAAGAGATACTTTAATATCATCCTGATGTTGTGTTATTCTCAAGAGCAGGTTAGTCACAAAATATGGCAGCAGAAGCCAACTGTTCCTGGCTGAATTTTCTACCGAAATATGGTCTGGCCATATCTACTAATTTTAACGAGCAGAAAGTGATAACAAAAATAAACGCATCAGGAAGTATTTAAAATAGCAATAACATGTAACCTTGGAAGATATTTATTGCCCCAAAATTTACATTTTTACACTACTCCAAAGATCTACTGTACAAATAATGTCAATAAGTGCATTTATGAAATGAGCCATATCTAATAAATCCTAATACTGCAAAAAACAATCAAGTTGATGTAAACATAAGGATAAGCAGAGAGGTTGCCATCACCGAAGCACATCTTTATTCAAAGGAACATCCTTCTCAATCATCACACAGAAGGGGGAGTGGGGGAACAAAAAGAAAAAATCCAAACCAAAACAGAAAAGACAAAAAAACAAGAGATCTTCCTTCAGAAGAGTTAAATAGCCTTTAACTGAGTTTCAAAGTAGGCTTAGGGTTTTATCTGCCTGATTAAGTAAGGCTTCAAACAATTGAAGCTGTAATTAGGCATAATAATAGTGGAACAAGCAAAGTTAGAATCATGCATATTAATTCTAACTTTGGAAGATATCTACTCTTAAATGGCATTTGATCCTCTTCCTATTTAGAGCGGGTTATTTCATCTTCAATGTGCTGGAGCTGTGGTGGAAATTTTCCACAGCACCTCTACCAGCACAAGAATTTCTTGCTAGAAAGACAGCCACAAACACCGTGTTGGCTCAGACCATGCCCATACACCACCAGCACCACGTTTTAGTATTTCTGGAGTATTCAAGAGATTTCAGTCTAAGAGCTCATTAAGGATTCGCACGATCCCATGTGGTGTTATGTCAAGAGGCTGCAATGGAGAGTTACAACTTTGTTCCTTCTGAACTGCCCAGCTGCTACCAGAATGCAGTTCAACTGCCATGTTTAAGGCTTCTTCTAATCACCACATCTCTCCAAAATCTGGAAGTAATCCACATGAGTAAGAGTTTATGGTAAACCTTTGTCAAAATCAAGAATAGAAGATCTGTGTAGAAAAGGTTAGGCTTGATTTTGACAATCTTGATCTTGTTTTTACACAACATTCAAATTGTACAAGATTAGAAAACTCCTAGCAAGCACATATCACACATAATTTAAATCAAATGCCCAACATTGATTTTAGGCATAGTATTAAAAAACCCTGCACCAAGACTGGTTACGGGCCTTACAAACTTGTACCAATCATTAAAGAAAGACTGACAGAGTTTACAGAAGAAGAATTACACTGAATACTGATGCATCCAATAATCAAAAAAAATCTATACAACTCTAATTCAAAACAGAAAACACAATATAAAAACCATCTGCGAGCTAACAAAGCATTTTTGTTATGGCTTAACAAAATTCTGTCAAAAGAACAGAATTATTATTTCTTTTGTATTATTTCTGTTCTTTGATGCACACAATGCTTCTTCGCTTTTTTTGGTTAATTAAACTAGTAGCAGACATTATAGATAATTCCAGGGGAAAAATCACAGCTACAGATCCATAATAGAAGACAACTGTGCTAAGACAATGTATCTGTAACTCCCTTCACCTAATCTGAAGAGCTGTTTTTCACATACATGAGTTTAGAATCGAAATTCAGTATTTTCTCAATATTTCTTATACTAAATTCAAGAACACAGAGTCAGGTATAACTCAATCCGCGTGCAAAACAGTCCACAGATATCTAGACTCTAAAAGATTAAGCCAGTCACAACAAAAGAAAACCCAACTCAACAGCAGGGTAAAGACGACACCAACTACTTGAGTAGACAGAAATGCTCTGCCACTGAAACTCTCTCTTCAGTAGATGACTCCAATTCCTCTTGTATCTGAAACTGGATTTTTAGGTTTTTTTTCTACTAACAATCCTTCCATGAGTTCTTTTCTTTCAAATTATCTCAAGAGTGCTCAGCACCCTTCCTACAAGCTCCATGTAATTCCAACCCTGTTTGTGTCATAGCCCACAGGCAAATCTTTGTGCCTTTCTCACATTCTGCTCCCACAAACCCTTTAATTCACCTCCACATTAGTATCTTTACTTGCAAATTCACTTCATTTTATTGCTAGCCTTTCACCTGAAACAGCTTTTCTCTATCCCGTACCTGTCTCAGAAAGCTTTCACCTTACCTATTCAGTTGCCAAACTCTTTTTCACAGATCACCCTTATATGGATTTGCATCCATATTCTCTCTTTACTGTGTTCCAAATATATATTTCATACTAGAGAAGTAAAAATACTTTGAAAGGTGCTGCAAATGCTAGTTGTCCATATACATAACATCAGAGCATTATGTGGAGTGATAATCTGACACAGTTATATAATGTAGACTTCTCCAGGGGGTTAAGGAAAATTCTAGAAAAATATTGTATCACTGTAGACTTTTTTTTATACTGATCCACCAGGACTCCAAACAAAATGGAACATTTTTTTCCTCCACTGGAGAATATTTTCAGTTTTCCAACCTAATATTACTCTAGATAGAAGAGCCCCCATGCCCCTCAACCTCAGGGCTTGCAGGAACAGCAGTCAGCTACCTGGCACAGTGCTCTCCATCACCTTTAGCAGAGGAAAGCGTTTGATGTACACTGGAATAGTTTAACTCACCAATAAACGGAATAGAAGCCAAGGAGTCACCGGGTGGGCTGGAACCTGATGCTTTCCTTTCTTCTATTCTTTTTATGTGGACTTCTCTCCGAGCATCGTTAGGTAACCAACAGGTAGTGTCTGAGGCCGCCTCTTGGTCATTTACAGCAAGAATGTAGGACTGATGCCTCAAAGGCTGTGGAGTTTGGTGGCCAGAAGGTGATTTGTCCCGCATGACCACTGTGTCTTTGTCATTTTCCTGGACATCCGTTTGCAGAATTTCAGGCTCCTGGATATCTTCCCTTTCAAAATTATGAATCTTTTGTCTGATTGAACCATCTACATTGTCAGAGGTAGTTGAACTCTCACTTGTTGGATGAACAAGTTTGGTGGAAGCTAGAGACAGAGAGGAAGGTTGGATAGTTTTGCCAGTTTCTGTTTTGTGATCTGGGGCACCTTCTGCTCGGATCCTTGACTGTTGGTTTAACAGACCACTCTGATGCAAGTGATTTACTGTTCTTTGGTCTTTGCTGGCAACAGCATCCAGGCCCTGGTTAAGGGGAAAAGATGGTTTCGCTGCATAGGGAGCAGAGTTCTTCAAAGAGCTACTTTTAGAACTTCTGGCTGGTGTGAGGGACAATCTCTCCTGTGAAACAGTTGTAGGTTTTGAAACTCCCCCAGGAGTTTGAAAATCTCGAGAAGGCTGCAACACTTTTATATCTGTTGGAACTTTCTGAAAATGAGAACCAGGCAGAGAAGCTCTACTACCTGTTCTCCTGTTGTCTGAAATATAAGCACTCGGAGCCATAGAAAAATTTTGACCTCGAAGGGACATATGAAATGCATGCTGTCTAGATCTCTCATAAATACCTCGTCGATCATCTTGTTCAGTAAACCCTGTCCACTTGTAAGTCTTTCTCCTCTCTCCATTAGTATCTGCAATCAGATTCTCAGAATGAAAATTTTCCAGCCCTTCACTCTGTTTGCTGAGATAATCCCATGACTGAGCCCTGTGATTCCTGGCATTAACTGAAGGTGAAGTTAGTGTATCCTGCGAAGCACTTCGTGGCCACTCTTTCATCAATACGGGATCTTCAAGTCTTTCCTGGGATACACTTCTCTGCCGGATCTGAACAGACTGTGGAACCCTGTCATGAGAGGTGCTCCTGCGCCGTACCTGTGAAGCAGTGCGATTTGGCACCACTTGATTATAATCAGTTGTATTCTGAGAAGCTGCTCTTAAACTATCCAACCTTTCCTGTATTGTTCGGGAGCCATACATGTGCATGCGCCTATTATCAATGTACTCTTTGTAAGTTTTGTAGGTCTTCCAGTCTATATGCTGGTGGGACGTTGGAGAACTGTAATGATTACTAGAGACTGAGGGCGAGTCTGTGGCTTGAGCAGGAGGTCTAGTGCTTGGGATTCCTTCTGGACATACTACATAATTTGAAGCTTTACTTAGTGTTCCAGTTGGATCAACTGGCCTTGTTATTGGAGTCTGAGGAAGTACAACGGCAGTGGACACTGAAGAAGATGGTGATGTGGTCCGTGCTTTTAGACTGGTTTGATCTTTTAAGCCATATCTTACTTCCTCTGTTCTGTGTGACGGACCAGTATGATTATTCCTGCAAGATGGCAAATCTACAGCCTTCTCAGAAGGCACAATAACAGTCCTTACAGTTTCATTGCAAACACACACAGCTGTATTTGATTTTGCAATGTCTGTTGGTGATGGAGGCACTTGTATTTCCATTCTGTAGGCCCTCTCTGGCTGTGTCAATGCCCGTACTGGTCTACCGACTTGCTGTTTCCCCAGCGAGAAGTCAGAAGATAGCTTATCACCAGCTTGTGCCATAACAGAAGCTGTGGATGTCAGGCGTGGATAACATATTGGCGGTGGTTCAGGTATGTTGTGGGCGTTACCACTGTAGGCTTCATTGCCTTTCAGGTAGGCATCTTGGGAATACGCCTGTGGAGAGAAGATTAAGTGAGTATTCAGTAGTGAGGGAAATGGAAAAGTTCACCATCTAGCATTTCCATGATCAAGTTTCAAGAGAGGGAACACAAGTACAAAATTTACACTATCCATCAGTTTAGAGAAAATGTTAGTTAAAAGATAAAAACAGCATTCCATCCCCTTAGTGAGCAGAAACAGAACAAGCAAAATCATTACATACATTCCCTCCCTCAACAGCTAAAAAACTGAACTGATGACCAATTCTAGGAAATACTGCAGGTAGGGCACTGAAGCAGGTTTCCCAAAATCCATGAGCACAAAACACAGTGTTTTTCCTCGTCTTAATTTTGCTATCATGATGCTTCACACACTCTTCCTGTTCAAGCTTCACACTGCTGGAAATCAGAATTTCACAGCAATTGACAGGTTAAAATGCTGCATAATACATTCAACTAGCACTAGAAAATTCTCTGTTCACTAAGTGTATAAAAGAACTCTGTTCATTTAATGTAGCGCATATAAAAAGTACACACAAATATACATACACACACTCCTCTAAGACGTCTTCAACATAAAAGCTACTGTTCCTCAACATAAAATGAATAAATTGAAGCAGTAACATCTTTGTTGTGAGCCAACACCCTACAAGTCATTTCACATTTTACAGAAGACAGCCAGTACATGGTACTCAAATCTTGCTGCGAAAATATTAATAAATGTAACGTTTTAAATTCAAGGTACAAGCAGTATGAAAATTCATACATACCCACCACTGTCCACACACTATTAAAACACAAACTAAAATATCAAATTAATTTCCTTAGTGCATTTAATAGCACATTTATGTTTAAGAGCCTGACTCCTGAGAAAAAAATGGTTATAGTACACTTAATATGTTTCTGTAGCTTTTTGGAAAGGCAGCATTTATCATTGTGAAATTAACGGAACATTCAAAATAATAAATCAATGAGAAGCATACAGCATACTCAAACAATATCGTATTACTGAAAAACTTTAGCATTACTTCGTTCCGTTTAAACATAACGAAATAAAGAGCCAACGCAGAGCCTGCCAATGCAACAGAAGATTAAAATGATTTCTCAGAGCTGTTACACGCTTAGGCGTGGTATCATATCACAGCATTTCCTGTCCAAATCACAACATGCTCAATTCCAGAACATCAATGTGCCCTGTCTTAACACCAGACAGGTTACAAAAGCCCAAGTGCAGCCATAAAATTAATACAGAGCAAAGTACAGAGGAGGGCGAGGCATTTACAATACTGCTGCAATGTTACACCAAGCATTAGTGAAGTGCAAAATATTAAAGCATACTGAGAGAAAACCGACGAAATAACACAGGCACAAACCACAAATTAAGACATTAGCATTATGAACAAAATTCAGCTCAGACTATCTAGCTCATTTCCAATGAACTTGCTGTTTCATAGTCTCGCTTCTCACAAATCATTCAGAAAAACATGCCTTACAAAACCATCAGAGAAATGGCTACTGTACATTTCTTACCAGTGCTGTGACATCCTTTGTGAACTGCAGCTGGCAGAAAACATGAAAACATAGTAAAAGGTGCTTACAGATGCAAAGACAGAATTATGTTGTCATATTGATGTTGGCTACAGCAAGCTAAAAATACAACTACACTGATTTCACTGGAAGGTACCAACAGAGGTAAAGGGCAGTAAAGCATAAAAAAATAACTTCACCCTCCTTGTGAGCATGTCCATCGCAGGCTTTTATCTGCTCCTCGCATTTACCCTCTACCCTTGCAGAAAGCAAAATACATTTGTGCCATTTTGCCTTGGTGCATCCATACAGCTGCCTGCAGAGAGCTCTGGCTCTATGCAACAAGACTTCCCTTCCACTACAGCAACATTACTGTCTCGCGTTTCCCCTGGGCTGCTACATCCCTGCTTCCTGGTGACGAAACAACGGCTTTATTATGCATTTAAAACAGCACGCCCCTTCCCCACATATATCTGAACACGACCACAAGCTGTCAGCTGACTGCAGCTGCTTTCCTGCTGTGTATCTGAAATTAGGGGAATGATGCTGCAGAAACACTCTACTCGTGATTTTTTTTTTTTCCCCCCCCCCCCCCCTCCACTCATACTAAAAATCAAGCCAGGTTTCCGCTGGCACATTTAGTGGAAGGAAGGAACATATAAAGATAAATATTTCTAAATCTTTCAATAAGATCTTGACAGGCTGGGAAAAAAAAAATAGAAAAGATGCTGAAGACCCAGAAAACAGAAGGAGCAGAGACTGCTGGCATGCAAGACAAACAAAACCAATCATCTCCCTCAACCAGAAAACTTTATGCAATTATTACTTTATGCAACTGATAAAACAGTTCAAAACCTGCGATACACACACGTTACACCAATATAAAATACACTGCATGTATGTTTTTGTAAAACATGCAAATGACAAAATGCTTCATTGACTTTTGACAGTAGAAAGGCTAAATTCCCAAACTAGTGTGATCTGATCGTAGCTGAAGACTACAAACAAGTATAAAAATCAGTTCTCAGCTCTTGACAAAATTTATCACAGATATTACAACATCTTCCTCAAAAGACAGCATTCTCACAAGGTCCAAAACAAGATCAGCTAGGCTTTCTCCCCACTTCCCCCAATAAAGCATATGTTTCTAGGATTGCAGGTATACCTGGACAGATTGCCAGTTCTCAGTAAGACAGAGTAACCAGAAAAAAGGTTTTGATGATGCTAAGTGTGTGTAGTTCTCCTTTCAACCTCATTCCACCCACTTCTCAAGAAACCACTGAAACAAAGCTGAACTTTCTTCCAAGAAAGAAAAAGTTTATAAATAGGGGCTGTGACATTTCCACAAAGCAATATTAAATACCTTTGTCTCATAATGCTGATTAAGGGCCTACAGAGAAATATTGCAACTAACAAATGCACGGATCCTCACGGTGAATGATGCATTATCAGCCTTTTTACTATGAAACATTTTAATTGCTTGAACCAGAAAGTGATGCTTAAATTTTTAGAAGACATTTTGAAACTAAAAAACGTGAACTACACCAATATACCTAGCAGCATTCATACACTATTTTGGTACATAACATATTTTGCAACTATATATAAAACACAGAGTGAATAATCCTTTCTTCTCCTTTTAGTTCTTCAACTGACATAGCACATAGAAATACTACTTTAATGTTCAAGTGACAGCAAGAAAGGATATATTCGTAAAAAAGCAATCAGGGTATGGCTTAAATTGAAGTCTCTAAAAAGTCCTAAAAATAGCAAAAGCCTTCCAACTTCAAAACATATAGTTTGTTTGTTTTTTTTTTTTTAATACCAAGACCAGTGATGTTCCTGATTCAGACACCAGCTAAGCCACTTGAATTCCTACAGGAGCTGGGTACTCAGTAGTTATTCAGAAGTTCCAACATGATCAAAAAATGAGTCTTGATGTTTCACATGAGCTCTTTCCCACTTTCTCAAAACAACAGCAGTTATGGAAAGCTTTCCAGACAAATACAACAATTCAGAAAGACATTAACACTTTTGATGGATAACAGCTCTGCAACAATTACTAGAAGAAAACTGCCTTGCTTACAGAAAGAATCAGTGTGTTTCCAGTTCTTTGATACAATTTCTTCCTCACCTTGCAATCTGGTTACATTTGCACCAAGTTTACAAACTCCTGTGGCAAAGAGTTAATTTCTGACCACGAATGCGTATAACCATTAGTACATTAACAGTTTAACTGGTAAGGTAATACATTCATGCCATATGATCAGCAAAATAAATGTTAAGCAAATAAAGCATTCTACAAGGTATCGGATTAACCTTCAAATTCAGCTGAAGTGTTTTTCTCGCATTTTTTCCCCACCTGATTTTATGCTGTTTGATGATAGAATAATAGCCAACGTGCAATGATTCCTCTTAGTAAGAAGCATGGTAAAGCCCCATACTTTCAAGAGCTTGAGCCAACCATAACCTACACCCCTAGTCCAAATCCATAAAAGCACGTAGGCATATGCTTCGCTGAGGATGAGTACGCTTCACTAAAGGATGAATAATAACACGAATTTCAACCGAGCTACTTGCAAAACTGGAGATAAATGTTTTGATGAATCAGAATCTAATGTGCCCAGCACCTTGCAAGACTGAGCTTGAGGCATTCTTCCTTCCTCCTCCAACCCATTTGGCTTCAGATTATGTTTCTTTACTACTAAATTCTTCTCTTGCCCAGTCCTAACTTATTCTCACATTTAGCATTGAGTACGGGAAGTGCAAACCAGAAAAGGTTTTCAGTTGTCTTAAAAGGAAACATTTTCCAGTTACAGTTTGCTCTGGCAAGAATGTTAGTAATATAGCTCAAGTGGTTTCATTTTACTACGAGACAGCCAGCAAACTCTACAGTCAAATAACATTATTTGGAAAAAAAAAACCACAAACCAACCTGCACACTCTTCCTTCCCAATAGCAGTGAAATTTTAGTATGTAAAACTTGATGCCTTAAGCCCAAGAAATTTATTTTCTTGTAAATATTATTCTAAATCGAGGTGAGGAGGGTTGATGCAAATGTTATTTTCTAACATACGCAATGTTAGGTAACAAAGTTTAAGTCTTCTCTTCGAGGTTACTACGTCTCCACACCACACCCCTCCTTCCATGGTACTTGCTGCCAGAGCTTTAACATTAACCTCTGTGCACATTACAAAATCTGAAAATAAACAAATGCTCCAACACTCTGGACTAAACACAGCTACTTATGAAAGCATCTCTATTTATTGAAAGTGAAGTACATGAAAATATTTCACAGTTTGCCAATGAAATAGCCGTGTTGTTCCATTAGGTCTGACACAACTGGACGGTTTCAGGCAAAAGAAGACAATATTGTTAGAAGTTGACTGTAGGCAGATTTGTAGTCAGAGGCATGAGGTTACTGGGGCATATAAAATGCTAGAATAAATTTCCTATGTAAGTTATTTTTACTTTTTCTTATTTTTTAATGCAGGTGCATCACTGGCAATCCCAGGGTACTACAAGGCCTTGAGAGCTGCCAAATTCCACAGAAGTATAAGAAATGACAAAGCAGCAAACTCTTCTTTTACACCTGGATCTCCCAATAAACTGAAAACTTCCCTATCAACTGACTACAAAGAGGGGAAGAAAGAAAATATATGCTTCAATTGACTTTCACTCACTTTTCCCATCCAGGATTTTTTTGTTCCCCTACTCTAACAAGATAAACCGTTTCTGTTCAAAAGTAGTCAACATTCAGTTATTGATACACAGTTTCAATTGTCTGTAATTTTAAGGAAAGATTAAGATGTAAATTAAAAGACATGCAAGAGGAAACGTATCAAAAACATACAGCAGTAAACAACTCCCTTTTATTTCCACATTTACTATTATTCACAGAAAGTAAAAAAAAAAATCTTTTTGTAAATGAAACTACAGAAATCTTTCTGGAACTCTAAGGCATGTTTCAACAGATTTGCATGCTACTAAAATTTAATGGTCACAACACCTAGGACTAGAAGTAACCTGCTACCTTTTGGGCAACTCCTAGAAGGAAATGATTTTTCAACATTTCAACTCAAAATAACGGCCCCAAAATCCTGCATACTAAGGACACCCTAACACATGCACATTAGACACTGCAAAGACTACTGACAAAGAGTCATAATACAACTGACCTGTAAGTGGGCCTGGTAATTTCAATTTTCTCTCTCTAGGGAGCATCTTTACATTCAGTATTTTCAGTGTAGCACAAAAAGCTTTTGAACGACTGGAAAGTGTCACAATGTAAACAACTTTTTAGTATTAAATTTGTTATCCAAAGGCTACAAAACAGCAACAATTCCATTAAATGCACTTGAGAAAAGGAACTATTTGTAGTCGACCTAAATGTGTCTTTCCAACCATATGAAGTCAGTGGTACTAAAACCTACAAGACGCCAAAATTCTATCAAAAAAGTTGGGAATGCTAGACAAATTGTATATAGATACATGAAATCTGAAACACTGATGATGATATAATATAATAATGATCCACCTCATGGTCTCAAAATAGTTACATATCTACAAATGTTTCAAGGTCATCAAAAGAGATTATTTTAATTAAACTAATCTCAAATTTGAGGAGGAGCATGAAAAAAACTCAACGCGTTCATAGCTGTCAAGAGTGCAAGTTTTTGTCATAAAGGTGTTTTAAGTATCCTTTCCTCCATCCCCAAAGTGACATTTCCAAGATCATGCCAGTGAACAAACACAACGGACGCCAACTTCACTAATGGCAGGATTTCACGTGTAATTCCCTTCTACGTAAGGAGTGTGCACATGCCACAGAGGGCGATGACCTGTGGATTGGACCACTTCATTGTTACTATTGATGAACGGATTTAAAGCTCTGTTTTCAGGAAATTCAATATACCAAGAGGTTCACAGACATATACAGATATTTCTAAAGACTAAACTCAAAGTTTAAAAATAACACACTAAGGATAGAAACAAGCAACCATGCTCTTTATGTAGTTAACCTAAAAATCAGTCATCACCAAGAACTATAAAACTCACCACAACCAGCATCATTCCTGAATATAATGAAACTATTTAATCCTCATTGCACTAGATAAACCTTTTATTAGCTCCTACTAAAATATCCAGTAGTGCTTTGAGTTTTTCTGTTTTTACAGTATACCAGTATTTAACATCTTCAGATGGTGTCACTCATTGTAAACTGATTATTTACAGTTAAATTTATGACATATGCGAAAGAAAACAACTGAATTCTTCAACATACTATAATAACGTACATAACACAATTTCAATGACAAAAGTCTACATACTTCCTCTATTCATAAGGGCACTTTCCCTTATCATTTATTGTTCACTTCGCACTTATACTGACACTACCACTACAGAGGTTATTGTTTTCACTTACTTATATGAGCTGCGCTTCATTCAGGAATAAGAATTCGCTCTGAGGTTTATATGTTATTTAGACATAAGATTTCCACAAATGCTAATGCAGCATAAAAATAGAAAAACAAAACAAAAAAAGTATGCAGTTTCTCAGTTGAAAACAAAAAGCTACTGTCTTTTCTAAGGGAGTGAAAGGAACAACATTCTATGCTGTTACTCTGAAAATATTTTAAACAGTAGCATAGAGCAAAGTTTTTCACTAAATCTTATAATGGGAACAGTAGATTCTAACATCTAAAGGCTGAAGATTAATAATCACCATCTTCAGAGACATTGCATAGATTTTTTCATTTGACTGAAGTCACAGTGACGCACTGTGTCTCAAAAGACTGCTAATTGTTAACTTTAGAAGTGATAAGATTTTTCCTCCTCTGTGGTGGTCTGAAAAGGAGAAAACTACAGGCCGTAATGGACAACTTCTGTTGTAAGATGCAATTCATTTGTATCATCTGTATCTTCACATGTTGCAACTCTCCATCAAAGATTTGACACCTGACAACGTGCATACACAGATCACGACAGAACAATATGAACAGACAGCAGCTATCAGAAGTCTTTTAAAATAGGCCCAAGTACCTGCAATGTTCAGTCTTGGAGACTACAGAAAGCATCTGTCTCTTCACAGCTTTCCTCTGGCAGATGCTATGTGGAACTGACAGCCCTCAAGACAAGAGCCCGCTTTTACCTCAACAAACGCCTCATGGCAAACAGGAGCATAAACTGCTCCATGTTTTATCATAATCACGTACCGACCCAATACAACAGCAAACACCGTAGAAGGAACTCATACAAGCTACAGAGACAATGCAAAGCATTTTTTACAAAATGATGATTCCACCTCTCAAACCCAATCCTTTTCCTATCCTCAAAAGAGGACCTTGGCACCCTGGCATACAAAATTCACAACTATATCACATTTTAGAACTCAAAAGAAACTTTTTTTAAATGACAGCTGGAAATTATTCCCACACATATCTCCAGTTCTTTTTAGAGAACTCCCATAGGCAGATATCTTTTCTTCTTTCCTTTACCCCTCAATCTCCTCCAGGAGAATGACCTTATTTTCTTTTTTACTAATATCCTTTTCTAGCCCAAAGGCAACCATTGTCTTTCTTCCTCTGCCTCCATTATCTCAATTCTTGATATAACAAGTTAAATTCCAATCAATTGTTTTTCATCTGTACTTCACCTGAAGCTTGTGCTTCATGCTTCATCAGCAGAGGGAAGATGTGTCTAAAAGCTTCTCCCCCAGCCAAATACAAAGTTTTAACTTTAAACCTACAAATCTTGCCTTGCCCAGATCCTTAGACTATTATCGCTACTAGACTGCACTAGATGCACATGGCCATTCAGATCATTTAAAAGTTAGAACTATTCCTCCACTTCTACATATTCACAGCTCCAATAAAAATAAAAATACTACTAAAAAAAAAAAAGAGGGAAAAAACCAAAGCTGTTTTTCCCTGCCACTTATTCATACAATCAAAACTCAGACCCTGCCCCCAACATTTTCTGTACTGGATTGCTGAAATATTTCTTTATCAAGCATTCTCAAAATATCTTTCTATTCTAATAATCTTGGCTTGTTGGCCTAACTGGCTGAGTTCCTATACTAGCCTCTGTCTTCACCTTCAGCTCAAAACAAGAGTTGCTTGGGTTCTTTTCTTTACCCATTAACTCGTTCTTTAATATTGGAAAACAGCTACTGAAACTGTTTTTCCTTGACTGTTATTTAAAGTCCAGTCTTACTATTTCTATGTGGATTAGAAGATACAATTTTCCAACTACTAGCCAGAAAGTCTACCCTGCTAGTCATCTCCTTTCCTCTACCTCCAATTAAAAATAAAGCATATTAATACATGAGGTGTTTTTCTAATTCTTCACAATACATACTTACAAATCGTATTTTATTCACAGCTCTTTTGTACTTAGAGATACTAAATGGGCAATTAATTATCTCACTATATATGCAGGACCTCAGTTCAAATTGAGAATACATAGGCACTAGTGTAACAAAACATTTACAGCAATTACAACTAAAAATTTGGTAATAACCTTCAGCACATTCATCACCTCGCTTCTTTCCTGGAAATCCACTGACTATTATTGAGTTATTAACAGAAGCTAATTTTAAGGGCCATATGCTAGTTTTTTAAAATTCAAATTTAGTAATGATTCCCACCTTCTTCAGAATTAGACAATCTAGTTAAAGCAAACAATCCAATTCATAAATTCTAACATAAAGAAACTAATCCAAAATATAATAAAAATACAGACACTATTCTAAGATTATTTTTTCTTAAAGAAGATGCTAGAAATATCATGTGTAGAAGGTATTCTCCCCTATATTTGGATTCCTCTGAAATTTCAGGGATGGCAAGCAAATAGGAAAACATCTAAGGAATGACAGAGAGAGAAATGTTAACTCTCTAATTATTTGCTGGTAGCACAGTTCAAAGACTTTGTAACCAACAATGAGACATTTTTCTTTAGTCAACATACTGTCTGAATATAAGCTTCATAAACATACCAATTGAAGGATGTCCTCGTCTTTTGGCATAACACTAAGTTCCAATATGCTGTCACTGAAACATAGGAAAAAAAAACACGACACATGAACTTTTGGAAATTATTTTCAATTCTTGTAACAAAGATGATCCATTAACTTTCATAGGTCAAAACCATTCAAAAAATCCCACACTCGGCTATTCTGTCAAATTATTTTACACAACAGAAATAAACACTGATTTCCATTAGCGTCTTAGCAAATGAGAATAGAGCAGAAATCCAACTGAAGAGTACATCTGTGTTCTCAGCACAACCAGTGTATTAAGCCAACATGCTGTCTTTGTCAGTTTTGTCTCTTTTTTATTCTTGTTCGCCTCCAGTCCTAAGGTACATTAGTTGTTTGGAGCTTCTAAGACAAAACAAGGTGGCAAGTTAAAATTTCTCTCTCTCTTCCATTTAAAACTGAAGTCTGTTGGCACTCTTCAAAGTTGCTGGGGAAATGTCATAACCACCACATCATGTGAAAAGTGGGGCAACAGTAAGGCAAGGACTGATTTACACCCTTCCACTCCAATCACTTCCTGGCAGAATCAACTTAAACATATTTAGTCAGTCAGATGACATCTGAAATATGGATGAAAAACGCTTGCTATTTATAAATGCTGAGTTTGTCAGTCTGAATTGCTGAAACCAAAAGGAACAGCAGCATAAAGATCCAGAAATCTGGATAGTTCAATCAATGTAACTTAAATACAGGCAAACCCAGGACATTGGATGTACCATGTACGAGTTGTCCAGAGTCAAATATCGTAAAACAGTGAAACCCACAGTTAGTATGTACCACGAAAGCGTATTTTTACAAGCAAGAGAGAAATATATGCTTGTAACATTGGATACAGAACAGTTGAATTAATCCTCTCATCTGAGAGAATATTCTGTTCTCATATTCATTAAACATAAACTGGAACAGGGACAGAAAAGGGCTACAAAAGCGATGGCTTGCACAGACTATTTTAAGTAGGCTCAAAAACCAGAAAATGAAGAGATTATGACTGTTACTTAGAAATGTCACATTATATGTCACAAGAAGAACAGATATTTAAGCAAATTGACCAACACCAGCATAAGGAAAAAAGCATACAACCTAACTGGATGTATTAGACTAGAAATTAGCTTATCTGTACTGGTCAGTACAATGCATTTACTGAGAAATGACAAAACCAGCACACAGATTGGCCACCAACTGCAGGGCACACAGAATGATCTATGAAAGTACTGAGAAGGATCTCAGTTTCTTATTTCTACAGAAAGGAAAGTCATCTTCTCAAATATGTAATGTGTGATTTATTATGCTTTCTTATATGAAAAATGTTTTTATTTTGTGATTCCTTTTCCATTTGTTAGCAACCACAGGCATAAGGCTGCATTCCAAAATAGCGGAGTAAGGGTATTTGGTTTCACAATCTTCTTCAACCATTATTCATTTTGAAAAAAGTTTTCTCCAAGCAGCATAAATTACTTTAGTTTAAAACCAAAGATCAGCAGTGATAGATTTAAGTTTTGCTTTTTAAGTCTATGCACAGCTAGGAAAAATAAGTTTTAAAAAGCCTTTTACAGATTTTTCAGAATATTGAGTTTTAAGAAACACGAAGGTATTGATTTTTGGATCTGCATTTACAATAGTATTTTCCATTTTGACTGAATACATAAACAGCAAAACTATTTAAAATGATTCTTTAAACATAGTGTCATCAGCAGCTGACTTTTGCCTAAACTCCTCTGAATGGATATTAAATTATTTATCAGTTGTAAACCAAAAAGAGAATATGAAAGAGACATCACAGCTTGAGGCATTTCCAATGAAGAGTTCAGATTTAATTTCTCTGTGTGGGCAGCATGTATATGTAAATTTTATTAGGCAATGTATGGTTTGATAATAATCCAATGCTTATTTGCAGGGTGAAGACTTTGGAAGCCAAAAAAATGATAAACACCATTCATCCTCTTTAACTACTTTTTATATAAAGGAATATAAATTGACACAGAAGAAACTATTCTCTTATACAAATATTGTATGCCCTTTTTTCTAAAAAAAAAAAAAAAAAAAAAAAAAAGTTATTAAATCCATTTACATAGTCTAACACCTTTTTTAGTAGCCATCCAAAAGAGAAAAGGGTTCCATTTAGGAAAAATGTTTTAAAAATCATTCAAATAACTACTTAACTATTCTATTCCAGTTTGCCTGGAGAACCTTCTGGAGACAAACTGGATCTTCTTACTTCATATTTTATGACATGTTCTCAGAATGGTTTTCAATTCTCACATCAGAAACAAAAAGTATTAAGGAATACTTTTGGGGTATTGTACTAGATAATGTGCATGCAAATTATGAAAGTGTCAGTAAGAACCACCACACAAAAAGAGGTAGTTTATGCTAAAATATGAGACACAGTATTTTGAATTTTCAGAGATATCTATCATACAAATGACTTTTGTTATACATTTTGAGAGTAAAATTTAAATTTTTGACTCAGAGTCATCAAACTAAAGCACTAATCACACAGGCTATCATTTGATGCATTATTTTATATTAATGGAACAAATTCAGCAGCTAAACTCTGTACATTTCTGAGCAATCCCAACAATTTCAAGAAGAATTTGCAAAGAGAAACAAGCAGAAGAGACTTAATCATTCAAATTCCCCACAGTTAAAAAAAAAAAGTTGGGAATCAGAATCTGTTTCTTGTTTTATTTGGAACCATGAATAATTTAAGGAGTTTACATTAGTAATCAATATATCTCTAAGTTGATTATGTAAACAGGTGAGAATAAATTTTTAATGAACCAAACTAACAACTATAAGTAACGAGAGGAAACCTAGGATTAAAAGTGATCTCATGACTAACCTACAGGACATAGTTATTTCTAGCCACTCTTCCAAGGTGTGCCCTTCGCCTTCCAGCGGAAATTATCAGTGTAAGTTTAGCTTTGCTATCTTCAAGCAGAGCAAACCAGATAACATTCTAGACACAACTTGAAACTTTTCTGAGAACAATACAAAACATAGCTGAATTACATCACATCCATCAGTCAAGTTCTGATGTCTGCAGCACTATATAATGAGGACTAACAGCTGTAATTGAAGAACTTTCCAGAAAAATAATGAGCAGTTATGGAAATGGAGCTGCAGGGGTAATCTAATTAAAAAACCTTTAAGTCCAAACCGAGTTTCATTGCAAAACAGCTCAAGGAGGGGTGTAGGTGTGCCTTTTTATCCTCTTACCTCTAAAGAAAATGTGTTGTATCTTTAAAAACTGTTCTGAAGATGATCAGAAAAATTAAAAAAAAAAATAAGCATTTACAATACGCAGTAATATGTTTCAAAGGGTAATTAAAAACAGTAATTAAAAAGTCTAGAAAACTATTACACAACATACTGAGACTATAAATGAAACTATCTTTAGTCATGAATAAAGGAGATTTCAACTGACAGCCTTTCAAAAGGCCTTTCAGCAAGTTGCTTGCACAAATCCAACTAAAGAAACTAAGGTGTGCTGGATGAAAGATTAGCTAAGACACAAAACAGAGCAAGAACTGTGTCACTGAGTATTTTTAATGTTAAGAGTTTAAGTTTAAGAACCAGTAAATCAAGCGATGCAGACAAAACCTTTGGTTCAGCAAGCTTCTAAACCAGGGATTTCTGGAAAATGGTCTAGTATTATCTGAACAAATATTGCTCGATACTTTCAGTGTTTTCATAGTCTTCTCCTAAGAATCCATTACTAGATGTTAAGAGAGAGAACACTGACATAAACAGACCATCAGTCTGACCCAGGATGGCTATTCTGATGCACAAACAGCATGCTAAAGCAAGAGGCATACACCATAATGTAATTTTACCTGCCATGAAACAGCAGCACAAGAAATAAAACACTTTATATGCAGAACAAACTGCTCTGAGCTCAAAAATACTGTTTTCAAGCAAAGAATTAGCGTTCATTCTTTAGCAGCGTTCATTCTTTAGTCATGCGAGAAGCATTGCCTGTAAGCTACAAGGAAGATACACCTGATCAGGAGCCTGAGCTCTCTTTATGGATCAGAATTAGTATTTATCTAAAGAGTTCTGCTGCAGGCTTTCTCACAGTTATATTTTCTGTATAAAACAGTCAAGGATACACATGAGCTTTTGTTATCATCTTCCATGACGTACAAATCTGGCTCAAGACAAGGAATTGTTCTCCTCTCCTAACTAACAATAGCATTCCTTCATCTTCTGTGCACTGATGGAAATTAGGAGGACAGATGCGGCCGTGCTCTAGACCATTCCCGGTTGCACTAATCACTGGTAAGGCCTTATTCAGGTGTCACTGTTTAGTCACAGTGGGCAGGGGTTGCATTCTGCTGGGACGGTTTGCTACCTACACTCACGACACTGAAAATAAAACTTTATTCACAGGCAGACCTAGGGCTAAGAATCTCTGACCGCATAGGCCACTGAAGATGAGACTGGTCTCTCTCTTTTTTGGATTAAGATAAGAGATTTCATTGACTGATGTAGTTGTTGGGCATGTAATGTCCTGTGTCTTGGGTATACACTATCGTATTATATTGCTGTCTATACAAATACAAAATGAAAAAATGTTACATGGCTAGTGTTATCTCCGCTAAAGGTTATAAAAAGAGATAGATTCCATCTTTCCAGCTCTTGTACAGATGGTTCTAATGACACAAAACACATTACCTTGCCTGTCATACCTTTGAACACAGAGTTTTGTTGTCAAAAAAAACACACCTGAGGTGCATTTATGTATTCAAGATTTCATTCAAGAGACTCCACTGAAACATGGAAATCAGGATCTTATTTTTCCAACTAACTGTAAGCATAATTAAGTCTTCATGCACGAAGATTCACTAAAAATAGTGTGACGTGTGAGATGTATTTATAAAACATTTTTCCATGCTGATCATAATACAGCATTTTTCCAAATAACTCATTATTATATTGGAAACTTTATGCTATAGAACAGAAATTGACACCAAGAAAACAGTAAAAAAGGAGGCATGTAAGAGGCATGAAAACGAGTATCTAGATTCATGTATGGACATGATTTAACAAGCCCCTGTGAGTTGCAGGAGCAGTAAATATTACCATTTCCTCAACTCTGTGCAAGGGTTGTAACTTGCTGCAAAATAGAGGAAAGCCAAGATGTACCGCAGATGTTTTGCAGGTGTGCACTAGCATAAAATTTTTCCTTAACCAGATATGTCGAGTTCTAGTTATCAGATCTCATAAGAAAGGTAGATTTTTCTGATTTTCTTTTTAAATTAATGCATATATGTGTGGCGTATGTATACCTGATCTGCCTATTTTAAGCTCAGACAATCTTCCTCTACAGCACTCAGTGTGATTTGCTAACAAGTACTGACATAAAAGGACTGTGGCACAATTCAGCACATTCATTCTCAAACCCTTCTCAGCATTCAGTAAATACATGAAAACAGAAATAGTAAAACTGAGTGTGTATTAAGGAAAATTTAAAAATGCGACGACTTTTTCAGAACCACTGTAAGTGGTCATTTCTTCCTTAGTATAAATAAAAACAAGTGTGGCACATAGTTAAGCACTGGTATCTTACCTGTTCTGTATTAAAGCAATGACTTGAGAATACGTCTTCCCAATAACACTTTCTCCATTGACTTTTACAATTCTGTCACCTGTAAAGAAAAAGTTAAACCTGAAATTAATTTGTCTAGACATTTTTTTTATCATTTTTATTTTGTACTTCTGTACCTTACAATAGTCAAGATCATCAGTATGTTAAATTCAAGGTTAGTCCTTTAAAAATGAAAAAAAAAAAAGAACATAAAAGATGCATATTACCACTACATGTAACCATATACAGGAAGTCAAGTTTCTACTCTTTCCTCAGAACGTTTTCAGATGTGGTATCTTATTGTAAGCTTCCAAATGAATCACCTAGAAACTCAAAGAAAGAAAGCCACAAGCAGGTGTAAGCTCTGCCAGAGGTTCACTTCAGTATCCCATCTTCAAAATAAGGCTTTTGATGTATGGTAACTCTGCCCAATTCTTAAGCACATTTTAAATAGACATTTCATTCCAGCACTTAACCTCAAAACAAAACCAAATTTTAATTCAGAACACATCTCTCTTTAAATCAGTACGCATCTCCTTTAACAGCAGCAAATACTGTAATTTTGTACTTCTTCCTTCTGAGAAATAAAGAACAAATATTTTGAAAGGATTGTGTTTCCACCTTCCTCAGAATAATCTGGGTCATTTCCAAGACATTACTGTCTCTTCAATGCATCTTGGACAGTGTAATGGGTTATTTCTTATCCGTATAGATCAATCCTTAGATCTAATATCACTTTTATCTGATTTCTCCAAGTAGTTTGCTGCACCTTCCTCATTAAAAGCTTCATATACTCTAATAGATTAAGTGAAAAATATATCATGTAGAGCTATTTTCAGCTCTTGATGAAAAACTCATCCCATTCTTTCACAAAAAAATAATATTTACGTCATAGGTGATCAGGAGAGCAGAAAGGTATCTTGAAGTTACTAATGAGGAGAAAATGGTCTAAAGGATTAAAGGTAGGGAGCTTTGGAAAGCTGCTGGAGAAAGAACTGAAAGAAAGGACCTAGGCAAAGTAGCTAAAAGGAATGGCTTTTTCAACATTGCTTTAGAAACTGAAAGCCCTTTTTGTGTTTCTGGTGTGACCAAATCAAAGTGAGGAAAGAGCTGTTCACTCTGAATACTCAGCCTGACTTGGTGGCAATAACACTCTAAATGGCCGTGCTCTGTGGAGGTTCCCTATACAGACCCCAGGGATTTCCAGACTTACCAAACAACATGGATCTGTCGACTGTTTTTAAATTGTTCTGCACATAGGACACAACATCATGCAAATAGATTGGTGCGATATTTTCAACTTTATGAAATTTTATATATGCCCTTTTATCAGCTGGCCATTGCCCTTTTCGTCACCTGAAAGAGCTCTCGGTTTTGTCTCTTGCTTCTCAAGCAACGAAAGAAAGGTTGGTGGCAACATTTAATGGCTTCTAGAAATTCACATGCCTGATAGGCATCTGTGATGGATGGCAAATCCTATCCCACTGTTGCATACACATAGACACGTTATGTAATTAGGCTGAGAAACTGAACTTTCATGAAAATAAAGTTAATTTTGAAATGCTTGGTATCACATCAAAATAAATCCTTTCAAAAAGTTGCAGGAAAAAGAAATGGTATGATTTGTGCCAAAAAAAAAATATTCTTATTTACAAGCTCTGAACCCTGTCCTGCTAGGTCGTACAGCAAGACTTCCTCTGAACACAGTAGATCCTTCTCTGGAACTTAAACCTGGCTTTTTTCCAGGCTGTTTCAGAACTTGCCCACTGATGTAGATCTTTACTTCCCACTAAAAACTCTAATTAGGAATATCTTTAAAGTAGGTCATATCATCTTATCTATTATTGTGCAGTTATTTTTCGAAGAAACAGACTAGGTTATACACAGCAGTGAAACAAGTCTACTTGAAGCATTCATCCGATCAATCTGCTGAAAAACTCAGGTGGGACATACTGCAGAACTGGTTACAGGAAAGAAGTGGGTGCAGGCAACTCTGCAAAATACAATTTTGCTCAGTTTCAGACACATACAAAGGGGAAGGCCAGTGCCTATAGTGCAAAAAAGGGTATAGAAGCATGAAGGCTTTTTCTAATAGCTCTCTATCCATCTGGTGGCCCATTAAATATCTTAGATCAAACTAAAAATTAATTTGAATGCACTTAAACCATCTCCCTTTCCACACAGATTTTAGTTCTTTATGTTCTTGCATGTACATAAATGACAGTATGAAGATCAAGATACGGGGAATGCAGATCTATTTTGGCTGGCTGTACTTCAATATTTCTAAAATACTTATGCTTGGAACTCACAGGTATGTTCTTTTTTAATGAAATGCCTCAGAGGTTAAATATAAGAAGTATGATCTTTCTAATTCTAACAAAGGTAATTTTACAGGAGTATTAAAAAATACTCAGAATTAATTGTCTTATATTTAAGATATTGTAACCTATTCTTCAAATTCACAAGAGCATTCCAAGTTTTCTGGTGAGCAGCAGCCAGGCAGGCTCTTGAAACAGAGCTCGTTGATTCTGGATAACGAAGTTTGGGTTGAGACTGTCAAGTATTACAAAAGACCCTGCAGCAGTGAAATGAGAATTGACAAACAAATGTAACTACCTAAACTCACATTAGATTTTTGAGTATTTTCTTTCCATTAGTGCAACCATGAAGCAAAAGCCAAGAGTAATTTAAAAAAAAAAAAAACACAAACAAAAAACCACCACACACCATACAGTTGTTTCTACAAAATGAGAAACGTTTACAGTGTCTGTATCAGAAGTTAAGCAATCTACCTTGCTCATCACTCCCTGAGTGTTTTATAATATAATTTCAAGATAGAGATACAGTAATGTATTTCACCCTAAAGTTTTAAACAAGAAATAGTGGCATGACCTAATTAGATATAACTGCTATCAGCAGTGTGTTTAAGAATAATATTCTGGTAATTTAAAAACGTATTTTCTCATTTATTTTCTGTTCTTTCTTCTGGGCTCCTAAAAATCTCTTCTATGCCTAAAAATAAAATATTCTCTACAGATTTGATCTCTTTCAGTTTGGCAAACACTGAACAGAGTAGAAATTAACATGGCTCCTCTGTACAACTTCAACATATGCTGCACTTTATCAAGCCAAAACATTTCTTTATATAATAGCATTAAAATAATGCCAAAGTAGCCCTTCCCTGAATAACTACTTAAGAAGGAGTTAAAAAATAAAAATGCCTTATGCTGTACAAGTAGGATCTAGTACTGGTTTTGAAGTGTGATTATCCTAGAATATTTGAATTTCTTCAGGAAGAAACATACAGAAATTATTCTGTTCCAGTCAAATGCACGTACGTAACTGTTTTCAAAAGAAATTATCAACATCCTATTATCTACACAAACAGAATCCTTTCATAGAACATGTTTTACCATATGTTTTACCATATTTCTAAGAACAGAAACCTGTGTTTGCAGTGGTATACATCTACATAACTTATTGTTTTAACACTTGTAAGACTTCCCATTCTAACAGAGGATTTTTTTTTTCCTTTGACACTTAAAGTGTAACAAAGTACCTGGCACTTCACAAAAAACATGCTTTCTGCTCTACACTTTGATTAAATCAAGGAACTGAACAAAAATTTGATCGGAAGGGATAGAACGGGATTGTTCCCATATAATTTAAAGGAAGTGGAAAAATTTAAAGGACAAAAACCTGAACGTTTTGAGGTTACCAATTGTCACAAAGCACAAGAAATAGGAGCTTACAGATATCATTTTCCTCCCTTTTCTCTTCTCACATTTTTATGATATACTTATTCTTACCTTTTAAATGATAAGAATACAAAAAGACTAAGACTTTAATGCCTTAGTATATTTTACATAGCACCTCTCGAGAGAACACAATGGCGCTTTTGAGATGAAAAATGCTAGAGGACAGTTTAAAAGAGGTTTCAAACTTCTGAAGGCAAGAACAAGATTTAAAGGGAAGACAGAACTATATGTAGAAGCTTAAATCATATATATTTTACATCATGTATGCAAACATGCTATTGGTTTTATGGAAGAACCATACCTGTGCAGAGTCCAGCTTCAAAAGCAGGCCCACCCTCTTTAACTTGTTTAACGAATATGGTATCCATTGGCTCCAGTCTATTTCTTTGTTTTCCTGAAAAAGAAATAATATTTCTTAAACACATTTAATTATACTGCATTACAATGTTTTTACCTTAACAGTTATTTTGAAATGTAATCCTATCATGTTTGTCATTACATTAAATACTCAAGTTCAGTTTGGGGTGAGGGAAGGAAGAGAGACCAGGAATACTAAAGACAGCATTTTGTTTAGCTACACTAAAAATCTTTTCGGTGTCTGGGAAAAAAAAGAAAGGGGAGGGAGGTGGAGAGAGAGATGTATCTCAAACTTAAACGTGTGAATATGTCCCAGAAAGCGGTATTTTTCAGGTTCATTTCATCATCTCATTGCTACTTCATTCTCATATTGAGGCCTACGCTATTCAGTAAGAATTACCCATTCCTCTTCTAGATTGCTATCTGGCATAAGCTATGAAGCCAGGCAAAATGAGTAACAATTAGTATTGTAAACTGAAAAATAAAAGTCCACATGAAACTGTAACACTGATTTTCCATCAGTGTTTTTCAGATGCTCCAAGACAAAGTCTGAAGTTTTCTTGAAGATTTATCAAAATTCAAAAAGCAATGTATAATTCAAAATAAATTATAACATCTGCACACGCTGCACGTATCCATAAATAACACAATATAAACATAGAAGTTAATCTACAGTAGTTAGAAACCGTAACACTTGTTTCTTCTTGCTTTCTCAGTATACACTGAATTTCTAGTGTATACTTCTGTTTCACCAGAAACACAGGTGCTTTTATATGCATGCCATCAAATCTAAGTAATTCTTAGTTCAAGTAGCCACTGCTTCCAAATATCAAGGTCGGAGAGGGGGCAGCAGTGCAGTAAAAAATAACACACACACCACCACCCAAAAAAAAAACCAACACACACACACCACCGCCTATACAAAAAAAACCCACAAACAAAACCAAAACCCTGCACAGTTACTACCCTTGTACCACACTCTCAGCTGGGGAAGTATCACTGGAGGCTACATGATGAGCCAACCCTGGGGAACTGACACAGGCTGAAAATAAGCTGGATCTGGGCTCCAGTTTACCAGGAAACCCTGACATAGTGGAGAGGGTGGTATAAACTGCAGAAAGAACAGGAACAGCAGGAGAGAATAAAGTGATTGCTTAAAATTGGCACTGCTCATAAAAGAAACACTCCTTGAAACTGGAGTATTAGGTTCTAATCACTTCTTCAGTGACTAATCTTCAACTTGGGAGTAAATAGCACTGTTTTTGGAAGTACTTTCGCTACAGCTTTAAATATCCCACCTGGCCATGTTTACTAAGCCACAGCATTATTTACTGAATATAAAGAAGGCGCCCCCCTTATCCCTTTTTTGTTCCATTTCCGTATGGGAAAAGGTCATTATTTTAAGAATTTTATTATTGCACAAAACCAGACTTCCCTCTGATTCACATTTTTCAAATACAAGTTTTAGCCTAAAGCCTTCATTCCACAGACCCTCAGTGTCCTGCCATTTTACCACAAAACAGCTGAACAAAATGGCTTACTCATACGGCTCTAAATAACTACAGAATGGTAGAGAAGAAGCAAAAAGTTGATTTAATAGAATCAGATAACTACTATATACAAAGCAACTGAATTACAAATCAAGAAACTCCAGCTGGCAGCTCCATCCCCAAATACTTTAAAATTTGATTAGCAGGACACAGCTACAAGACATACAAAATGCTCTTTGTGAACCAAAGCTAGTATCTGTCATCTTTAATCTGCTGATTTAAATAGACACTGAACACATGATGGGTCTCGTCCTTTAAGAGGCAGTAACATTTCAGCAAGTTTAGACAAGCTCCAAGAATAATAAACCCAGATGCCATGAACAAAAGGTTGCTTCAATCACTTACAAGAGTGAAGTTGAAGCATGACTTTTTATCAGACCACCAAACATCCTTCCCAGCGTTCTCACTTCATCTTTCACTGAAGAGATTTACAACCCCAAAAGTGACAATAAAAATAAAAATAATGGAGCTCCCATGGCACATTCAATCTATAACACTTAATATCTGATACTTGTAACCCAACACTAAAGGTCTACCTCAACTTCCTTTACAAAACGCTCATCAAAAAACATTAATGGCCTACTAGTTTGCTTAACACTCCAATGCTACTTCATGCCTTGTCCATACCTGAACACACAAAGCAAGAGGTCAGGCAGATAAGGTTGCTCCCATTTACTATGAGAATACCGTTACTACACTTCCCACTTCTGAGTTAAAAGGGGAAAACCATACTGATTTAGGGAGACCAGAGACTGAAGGCTTCCCTGAACATCTGATTTCTGACTGACTTGCCAGTTACACCAAGAGGTTTTTCAATACCACAGGCACTCACTTCAGGTTTTCACAGATACTTTATGAACTAATTCACAAAGCTGAGTACACGTTAAACTTGCTTCCTTGTCCTACAGGCAGAAGGAGGCTATAGTGAACAGGCATTCTTGTTCCCAAAAAGGTGAACCACCACTCTAAAGATCAAGATCAATTTCAGGACAAAAAAATCAGTATGAAAGGTTTAAAACACTCTTCACATTTGCAGGTTCATTTTACAGCTCAGTAATAACCAAATACAAGTAGAGACGAGAAGAAAACCTAGGAGGACTTTCAAGCTTTGGTAGATGAATACATGCTCTTCTTTTCTCCTTGTTTTTTTTACATATTTGGATACAAACTAAAATTTCTTTCCTCCAGTAACATATAAATGAACTTCCTTGAACATGTAGCATGTTTATATTTTGAGTTTGAAACTCAAGCAAAGCTAAGCAGTATTTTCTGACAGTAGGAGCTAACGATACTTTCTTCAGACCAACTGAGGGGGAATAAATTACGTAGATGTGCACTCAATCACTACAGAAATAAATTCCAAGTAAAACAGGTAACCTAAAAACTTACCCTCATGTCTCAAAATTCAACATTGTGCCTCAATCTCCATTGGGTCCTGTCTGCGCCCAATCATCAGGCAAAAGCAAGATGCTGTCCCAAATGTGAGTCTAAACTTCCCTCCTTCCAAAGCCCTCTATCTAGAGCAGATTATCACAGTGGAACTTTTACACTAGGTTGTCCAGCTCTGCACTAAGTAATGTCAGGCCAGATTCATAATTTTCCTTTCTAGTATTGAAAGGTCTAATTTTTTGGAGCACGCCAGCAATTCCTTACAAGGCAATATATCAAAGAACAGTAAAGCAGCTCACAATACTAGTCTGCCACACACGCAGCCTCACTGTACCCTTGCTGGGCACCAGTACAAGTTGGGAGAGGAGAGGCTGGAGAGCAGTCCTGCAGAAAGGGATCTGGAGGTGCTGGTCCACAGTCAGTAGCGTGCCCTGACAGCCAAGAGGGCAAATCGCAGCCTGGGGTGCATCAAACACAGCATAACCAGTCAGTCAAAAGGCCATTATCCCACTGTATTCAGCGTTCGTGTGGCCTCACCTTGAATACTGTGTGCAGCTCTGGGCCCCACAATTTAAGAAGAATGTGAAGGTACTTGAATGCATCCAGAAGAGGGCAAAGCTGGTGAACAGGCTGGAAGGCATGTCCTATGAGGAGCAGCTAAGGACTCTGGGTTTGTCTAGTTTGGAGAAAAGAAGGCTGAGTAGCAACCTCATTGCTCTCTACAGCTTCCGGAGGAGAAGAAGCGCAGAGGGAGGTGCTGATCTCTTCTCCCTGGCATCCAGTGATAGGACATGTGGGAATGGTTCAAGGCTGTGCCAGGGGAGGTTTAGACTAGACATTAGGAAGCATCTCTTTACCAAGAGGGTGGTCAAACACTGCAACAGGCTTCCTAGAGAGGTGGTCGATGCCCCAAGCCTGTCAGTGTTTAAGAGACATTTGGACAACGCCTTTTATAACATGCTTTAACTTCTGGCAGCCCTGAAGTGGTCAGGCAATTGGACTAGATGATTACTCTAAGTCGCTTCCAACTGAAATATGCAACTCTATTTGCTGGTGCTTTTCCAGTGCTTGTTACTGCGTACTACTTTGCCTCCTCCCTTCCTCTCCACACTTTTGTAAACAACTTGATAATTAAGCTTTATGTTGCAGACTACCAGCAAGAAAGACAATTTCTCCCAAATCTTCAAATGCAATTGAAAAACAAGACATCACACAAACACAAAGAACAGGTGAAAGGCATGTGCTGCCAGGAACACACTCACATGTGCAAGGAAGCAGTGCAGATGAAAAGCACAACTTCTGTGAAAAAGAATTTACTTCATTTCTCCACAAATGTAGCTGTCAACAGACTGTAGCTTACAGTCTTATGTAAGGGCAGTAAAAGAAATAGAAAAGAATATCAAGTTGCTAACTACACAAGTTAGCTGACCAGAAACTGAAACAATCCATAAAGTTGTCCTTTCCTTTATCGGTCTTGTACGAATGCAAAAAACTCCAGCACGAATAAATGGTCACCAGTCAGGATAAAGTATAACTTAAGTTATTGTCCAGGCAGTAATGTAGTTTTACTAACAGAGCGACTGAAATATTCCCTGCAATGCAATCAACCAGGCCCTTAAGTGACGCTATTCAAACAAAAACATAACTTGAGAGAGGGCAGACTGGTGCCTGAACTTTTACTTCAGTGATTCAGCATCATCAGAAATAAGGTCACAAAATGAATCACTAATATAGAAAGTGCAAGGCAAAAATTCATTGGCTTCAACAAGGATAGTAAGGAAGAAGAAGAGTCTTTATAATGAGGTCCTTAACCTAAACAACCCAAGTTAAGTAGTCTGAAGAAGCACTAACACCTTTTATCAAATGCAAGAAAAATACAGAAAAGCCGTTTATTGCAACAAGACTTTTCCTAGCCAACATATACTTTTTCATAGTTGTAGCAAATCTTCTACTTAATCAGCAATTTTCAACCAAAAAAATACTATTTGCCACTTTCAATGGCCAGTGAGATCAAAGTAGAATCTGCAGAATTAAGAGTAGTATCTTGTTTCAAGTGTTCAAATTAATGTCAAATAAAATTAAATACTTTCTTCATAAT